AAGATATTAATAAAAATAAAACTTAAGCATTACAAAAATACAAAGAAAGAAAGGAATAGCATGATCTTGATCTGGAGATCAAGATGCCTAAATACATGGTAAATGCCTCCTTTTATAGATCAAAATTGAAAACTATTGATTTGATGACTAATTGATGAGTGGATGACCAACTCTTAAGTTGATGACAATTTTTATCTTCTTTTGTCTGTGTAAAACATCAATGATAATGTCAGAATTGTAATCATTTGAAAACATAAAAGTTATGGGAAATTGTCTTAGATTTCTAAGGTAAAACATTGAGGTGATTTGGATTTCTAGAATTTTAGATATGGACTAAACACTAAATAGTGTCTGGGCTGCAAAACAAATTCAAACTTTTTTATTGTTAATATGCCACCTAATATTTAATTGAGAATTACTAGGAAACCCAGATGTACTAGTCTTGTCAAAAATTCATGAATAAAAAACTGATTGTGGTTAGAAAAGATATTAGCAACCATAACACACCCTACCTGAGATAAGTTGTTTCGCGATTGTGACGTGTTAAAAAAATTTTAAAAATTTTATTTTTTCATCGGATTTCAAAAATATAACTTTCATACAAATTTATACTTCTATACCATGATACAATCAAAATATTAAATCCTTCTTCATTCTCTGCAATTTTATCATAAATAAAAAAAAAACATTCATAAGATAAATATAAACAATTAAAAGCATTTTCCTTGTATTTTTCTTTTTATTCTTTTTTTATTTATAAAATACAAATAAAAATTCAAACTAAATAAATATTATATTAAACAGTTTAAAAATTATAAAATAACCCCTCAAAACTCCATAAATTCTTCTAAACAGTGTGAACAGTGCACATAAACAGTGCATGTGAACAGTTGACCGGGAATCTCTTCCTCTTCTCTGTCACCGGAGGTGACCTGCAAAACAACCAAAAAAACAACCCAGTAGTTGATTTTAATTTTTTTATTTGTTTTTGAAATCTACTTTTCTTTTCTTTTCCCTTTTTTTTTATATTCACAGTACAAAATACAAATTCAAAATAATTACATTACATAATTGTTAAATTACAAAACAGTCCCTAAAACTCCAGAAATTGCATTGAAGTCCCTCAGAAGCTGTGGAAGCACTGCGGCGTGTCTAGTCCACGCGCCGCGACGAAAAGACCACAATAGAGGGGGTCTGAAATGGCTTCCTCCCCTCTTCACTTTCCTCACCGCCGGAGACAGCGCCGTTACCAGCAAAACCACAAAAACGCAGCAAGCAACTTTGTTGTAGCTTTTCTTTCTTTGTTTTCAGTCTGGCTTCTCTTCCTTCAGATCTGCCAGATCTGGAGCCAGGCGTTGCACGCGCTGCCAACAAACCAGGTGTGTGGATGGTTGGATCGACAACTCCCCTCCTCCCATTTCATTTCTGCAAAGGCGGTGTTGTCCACCGCTGCCATAGTTGAAGGACCGGTGCCCATCCAAGCTTCGGTTTTCTGCCCCTTCTTCACTATCCTCTGGCCTTCTTCGGATCTGTTTTGTTGCAGAATGGCTGA